TAATATTAGAAAAATATTTGAGAAATTACTACTGATCCTTTCTCTTATATGTGCTAGACAAACAAAGTTAATAAAGATTTATTCTGATAAGAGTTCCTTTGATAGGTCATTCCATCAGTCATTGTTTGGTTTTTCTGTTTGAAAATTTAAACAAAATAATTTCTGTATCATCATAAATTATACTTCATCATATACTATACTCTGCTGCAAAGTCAAGAAAAGATGATGAACTAAAGCGATTTGAAGAAGCGTCCCCTGTTTCATTCAACCTGTGTTTCTCGAGAGCTTTCTATATTGGGTAACTCGCCTTACTTATTGACTAAGTAGTGCCTTATTGGATATAGTTATTTATACCATTTATTTTCATGAGAAGGTTTCCAAAGAAAACTCTTAACACATCCAGTTTGGGCCTTTCCACGTGGAAAAGTGCCAAGCAGTTAACCTGACTGCAAATGTATCACTACAGTGTTTGGCTTCTGGCATAAAGCAGGGACTCTGTATAAACACATCATAAAAACAGATAAAACAAGAGCAGAGAGCCCAGAAGGGTAGAGCTGTCTTTTAGATAGCACTGCCAGAGGACCAGGCCCACTGAACCAGACTTCAAGACAACAGACATTTATTGAACTCCAGTTCTGCATCAGGCATTGGGATGTTGCTTTTGGGGATACAAGAGTGAGACGCTTTTTCTGCCCTCAAAGAGTTGATGAGAGGAGACTGAGACTCGCAGGGCTGCCAGACAAGACAGGATGCATTATACATTCAAAGAGAGAAAAGAGCTTAGGGAAGTCAAGGGAGAGAGTGGCTATGTTGGACCATAAACATTGGGAACTCTACATGCAAAGGATGGGGCTTGAAGTACTTCTGCAGCTTTTGATAAGAAAGTAAGAGGAGCTGTGTGGTGGTGACACATGCCTTTAATCCCAGCAATCAGGAGGCAGAGGCAGGTGTATCTCTGTGAGTTCAAGGCCAGCCTGGTCCACCAGAGCTAGTTCCAGGACAGGCTCCAAAGCTACAGAGAAACCCCGTCTTGAAAAAAAAAAAAGAAAAAAGAAAGAGGACGACTTAAAGGACAGGATAGAGCAAAGAGTACATATGAACAATCGTTCACCCCCACCTATGTGTTGCCATGGTAAATGGCTTCGCTCTTTATCATTTACTCAAGAAATGCATTGTGACCCTGAAGAAGTTTCTGTAACCTTCTTATTAAGTTTGTTGCTAAGTGTGTATATATAACAACTTCGGTGAGCAAAGATGCTAGAGGGAATTGGAATAAAAAAATTAGAGCAGAAAAAAATACAACAAAGAATTAGAGAGTTCGAACTGGAGAACTGAGAACTGGAAATAAAAAGCCCGATGATGTCATCCTGCGTGTTGGCCGCTTCCGCTTCTGGCCCACGGGTGCGGTTCCGCAGCATTTTATTCCCAGAACAGAAGTTCTACTTTAGGTGGCTCCAAGACTTAGAGACAAAGGAACAAACAAGGGAGTTCAGAAGGTGATTCCAATGTGACCACTCACATAAATGAGAGAGAGAGAGAGAGAGAGAGAGAGAGAGCGAGAGAGAGAGAGAGAGAGAGAGAATGCTAAGTGAAATCTGAAAAGTTGACACTAACAGAAGAAGGTCTGTGTTGTGTGTGTGTGTGTGTGTGTGTGTGTGTGTGTGTTGCAGGAGGTGAGATTAAACCCTCAGGGGCTGTAATCCTGAGCAGTCATTTTCCTGCTTTAGAACCAGTATGCTGTCGGTTTCCAAGAGCTTGGTGAAAGATGCAAGAGTCTGATTTTAAATCTCAGAGTTGGGATGCACTGGTCTTGGGATAAACTAATATAACTACCGATACTTTCTGGTCAGACAGCACATTCTGAAGGGGCTTTAGATGAAAGATCTTTTTTTGATAGAACTGCTATGTGTCCTTTTTATGGACAGCCCAGGTTTTTGATGTGTAAGATGAGATGAAATAAAAATTGTGGCAGCAAATTTATAGACATGTGAAATAATACTCCACAGTAGGGCATTCTTTATAATTATCAGCATAAGTAGCACTATCCACCGACCTTAAATCACCACCAGTGCCATTTTTACTGTAGAGGATAAGAGTTATGGTTCGTGGACTCTGTAAATTTCGTGTCTTGACAAAGGTGATCTACCTTCTAGCCTGCCTGTCTCAGTGATCCATAATCACCGCTACTCTGGTGCTGGAAGGATGTGATAGAGGGCTCCTAAAAGGCTCTCGGTAGGAGCAAAGTGTTGTTCACATCTAACAGGATCCCTGTGGGATTTGAAAGTGTGAGGATGCTAGTTTGAGGCATTCGGAGCCTAATCCAACTGACGGCACCTCTTATGTAGCAAGCGTCACTATCTTGGTTCCTGCAGTTTCTAATTAAGATATTTGAAAGTTAATAGACATATGCATATCCTAGCACCACTGGCTTATTTATGATCATGTTACTGACTGAAACCAAGCCCCCCATGAATGCTCTGCTACTGAGTTGCACTGCTAGCTCATAGCTGACCTCTCAATATTGTTCTTTGTCAGTACAGTAAGGTCCTCATCCAGTTTCACTGGGATTCCAAAATAGGTCCTCAGGTACACAGTGCATGACTCACAAAGGAGCGACTTATCCTTCTGCCACGATCTACTCAGCTGTAAAGTCAATTCATTTCTTCTTTCCCTGGTCACTTTCCTGCAGCTGGTATCCAGCTAAAACACTTGGCAAACACCTGCTGTTTGTGAGATTTTTCATATTAGATATGGTATGAGCTTAATGAAAGGAAGATGTCTGGAAAGGAAGCCACTGTTTTAGCTTACAGTGTCTTTATATCCTAAAGCTGTTTCTGCTATTAGCGCCATCTAGGGCTGTTATTAATAACATGGACATCCATGGATGTTATTAGTGACACCAATGTCCAGGGCTGTTATTAGTGACACCACTGTCCATGGCTGCTATTAGTAGTAAGACAATCTACAGATGTTGTTAGTGACATCACCATCCATGGTTGTTATTAGTGACACCATCATCCATGCCTGCTGTTAGTGACATCACCATCCATGGCTGTTATTATTGACACTATCATCCATGACTGCAATTAGTGACACATCATCCATGACTACTATTAGTGAAATCGCCATCCATACATACTATTGGCGACATCACCATCCATGGCTACATCTTCCTAGCTGGCCTGCTGGAAACCAGCTCCAGCTTTATACCTTGTTCTGTCAAAGTAAAAGTATGGATTCCTTCTCTAACAATTATCTGCTATCCTAGGCTCTCTTTAGTGCCTGAGTTTCTTTGGGCTTTTGTGTTTTTTTTTTTTTTTTTTTTTTTTTTTTTTTTTTTTTTTTTTTTTTTTTTTTTTTTTTTTTTTTTTTTTTTTTTTTGCTATCTCCTAACATTCTGGACCCTACTGGCACCAGCTAAGGTCAGTGGCATCATTTTAGAGGCATCAATGCTTCTGTAATATTTTTCTTCTCCACTAAGCTAATTGACTCAGGAGCCAACTGTTTAGCAGAAGACAACTGGCTCATCTCTCTCTGGCCCAATGTGGATCCTGTTCTTGAGACGCATTCAGAAGAGTTGAGTATTATCTTTCAGGGGTGCGCAGGGAGGGAGGTGAATGGGAAGCCAGGCACACGCTCCACTACAAAGTTTGCGTTTGTTGAAGTAGAGCCCGGGTGTGGCTTTATGGGACAGATCTGCTGAGCTGTTACCCTAGTGTCCAGAAAGAAGAGACAGATGAGTGATGAGGTACGCATTCCTATGGCATCCGCGAGGCTCCTTTCCAGCCACACATGCATGCTTTGGGTTTCCGTGGCTACCATCCTTTTGAAAGTGGACAAATAAGAATCATTTACACTTATGATACACATCCCCCAGTGGTTCCACAGATGTAAGTGTTGTGAAGCTGCTAAATGAACATGATTAAGGTGTGCATATTACACGGCACAATATAGCTAATTCTTTTTGTGGGGAACGTACTTAACCGCTACCCTCAACAGTTTGTCAGCTTCTATTCACTGACTGCAGTCACCATGCTGTACATTAGATTTCTGAATTTATTCTTCCTCTCTCATTGGAACCTAGTGTTGTCAATGAGAGGAACTCGTGTTTTTAGGCTGAATGAATCGTGTTCCATCATATACATTTAGCATCAACAGTACTTTCTTATCGTTCGTTTACTATGGACACTTGGATTTTTTTTTTTAACCCTTAACTACATCATTTGTCAGGTAAGTACACTGTACACCAGGCACAACAGAAAACTCTAAAATTATAAAGATAACTAAATTAGGACTGATTTACGTCTGTTACTAAGGTTATTTTGAAGTAATCTGAAGCATAAAAGTAGATTACTATTATAGATTTTTCTAGATCAATAAGATATGTTTTAGTCAAATTATATATTTTTATTAATGAAATGTTACCATTAAATTACTAATTAATTCACTCAATGAGTATTCCTATAGCTTCTTCTGGTTTTGGAAACAGGGTTTCTAAATGTTGCCCTGTCTGTCCTGGAACTCACTCTGTAGGCCAGGCTGTCCTCAGACAAACTTGCTGCCTGTTTCCCAAGTGCTGGAATTAAAGGTATGTGTCAATGAGTACTTCTTGTATTCTTCTTGCCTTTAGATACTGTCAAAGGCACTAAACACAGGCCTGTCAATAAAATGTCCTGACCCTACTATCACGGAACTCCAGTGGGATGAATTCAGTTAATACTTCAGATAGTACTGGTCATTTTTTCCCTTCGGAATTTTTTATGGGTGAGCAATCATTGTATTTTAGGATTTTGTACATTATATCTAAGAGTTACATTTTATTTTTGAAAACACTTGCTTTTAGAATACATAATAGATTATTAGTCTCGATTATTTCTGATAGGCTTTGTGGCATAAACAATCAATTTAGACACTTGGCTTTCATTTTTGAATTAGGATTGCTCTACCTTATATCCTGATTTATACTTCTGAAAACATTGAATTTGTTCTAACATTTACAGCGTCTGGAATAAAGGTATTTCAGAAGACCAAACAGGAGAGATGAAATCCAGAGACTTTAATGGTGAGTGGGAAAGACACACTGAGTTCAAAGTTGCTTTTCTGGCTTCCTATGCATCTGAAGAAGAAGACCAGCAGTGTTTCTTATATCATTCTATCAGTTTTAATTTTTATATCCCCCTTCTTCTCTCTTTTTTCCCTTCTCTTTTTGTCATCCCTCTCTCTCTCCCTTCCTTTCTTTCTTCCTTTTGACATAAGGTGTCATGGGGCTTGAAGTGGGTTTGAACACACTCAAGGATGACTTCAAGGTCACTCAAGTATGACATTGAATAATTTGTGAAGTGGTAGGGATGGCCCCAGGGTCTTGTATAAACTAGATAAACACCTTACCAACTAAGCCATATGCAGCCCTATTTTAATCTTTGTGAAGAAAATGCTGAATATTATGTAGCTCTTGAGGTATGTAACAAAGTTAGAGGTTTTAACTCCCCCTTTGAGGAGAAGAAAAAACATAGGTTTTTATTTTTTTCTTTCTTCTTACTTTATTTAACTCTTGATTAAAATATTGTCTGCAGGGTATATGCATGTATATAGACTACGTGTGCTGTTTCAAAAGATGAAATACATGTTTATTCTAGGTCCAGAGTGGCCAACTTTGTCAAAACACTGGACCGTGCAATGCTTTGCCCAGTACAGCTTTAGAATTCTTTCTGAGCCTGCTGCTGCCTCTGATCTCGGTCCGCAGTTTGCAACAACAAAGACGCAGCTTGAGAGATTTCCCTTCAAATCCACATCAGCTCAATGTGGATCAAATCCTGCAAGCTGCTTTGATGTTTCGCAGTCAATAAACATGCCTGGTAAATTTGGCTGCTTCTCCCAGCATTAACCAACTGGTCTGTTTTGGACTGACTGAAAGTTCAGTTTCCAAGGGAGTCCCTGTGCTCACACATGCCAGGCAGTGCACAGCATTTGAGCAATATTTATCCCTTGAAACAGATACATGCCTGTGGTCATCTCACTGGTCACTTCTGCATTAAACTTGACCATTTCCCTTTGTGGGGTGACAATACCTCAAATTAATATTAGACCTAAGAGCGTTCCAGAAAGGTATTTACCTGCACTAATGACAGCTTTACTATAAAACTTTGACTTTTTTCTGCAAGATAATCAAGACCTTTGACTGGCTGGGGTAAGAGCTTTGGCAAATGACCGAATCAAGTCATTTATCACATTTGATGTGCACACACATAATATATTCTTGTGATAAATACACTTAAATTCCATACTCTTCAGCATTTTAAGGTATATAATATATCAACTAGAGTTTTTATATTGTACACTGGATATCTTGAGTTTTCTCCCTGCTCAACTGAATCTTCATGACCTTTGACCTATGACTTTATCTATACCCCTCTTTGCAGACCCATGTGCAACCATTCTACATAGTAGTGAATATGACTACTATCAATGCTTCATATAAGTGGAATTTGAATGCTATAATATGCAGATATTGATGTAGTCTTTCTTTCCCAAGTACAGGTCAAGAAGGTTATCTCATGGGAAGACATTTCCCAAAATAAGGTAGAGAAATATTTGCAGCCATTTTCTTAAAAAAAAAAACCTCTTAAACTATCTTAGCTCTTTCTGGGCAGTGGTGGTGCACACCTTTAATCCCAGAACTTGGGAGGCAAAGGCAGGTGGAGCTCTGTGAGTTTGAGGCCAGCCTGGTCTACTAGAGCTAGTTCCAGGACAGCTAGGACTGTTATACAAAGAACCCTGTATCAAAAACCAAAATCAAAAAACGTCTTAGTTCTTAAAAAGCACCTTTTTTTTGGCCATTGACTTTCAGTCAGTGATCACTGTAGTAATTTAAGGAGTTATACATGTGTGACAATGGTTTTCTCTATGTCCTCAGGAATGCGAGGAATATTAGGTATTATATATCATTAGAGCAATTACTTGTATACCTTCAATAGAAAGCGACTCAATGGATAGGATTTCGTGAAACAATTGTTTGGTATAGAACAGATTTAATTACACTTCTTAAATTGTCCAGAAATACACCTGCGACACTATACAAATTAGAAACAATGAAGCGAGCTAGGTCTGAGTTGAGAAACTCCCATAACAGGGTGCAGGTCAGTTGTCAAGAAGAGAGCTGTAATAGTAGATAAGTAAGCAAATCACTGTGGAATCCTTGTCCAAGGAGCATAACTCATTAGGGAAAGTGGATTCCAGAAAGAGCTACCAACAGAGAATTGAAAGATGGGAGAACATTTCTTTCTCTTTAATTCCATAAATAATAGCTTTAATGAACTGAAAGAAAGCAAATCCCATGAGCCATAGGAGCTTTGTAAATAAAGAAACCAGCCTTCCCGGGAGAACAAGGTTAGGATCTAGTTTTAGGTTGGCAGGTTTCCTGGGAATAATGTTTGACTTCCAAAGTTAGCATGTTTGGACTCACTGTGCTTCATTTTTTTTCAAAGTGGTCACCAGATAATGCCTTAAATACCTCATTGACTGGAAGGTGTTCCATCAAATATTTATTTGAATCTCCAAGAAAATATGGCCTAAGGGGTAAAAATAGACAAATGTGTCATTTACCTTAATGGAAATAAATTTAGTATGTTCTGATGCTATCCAACTGAGCTACAAGAAAGGAATGGAAATTATGTGGGGAATAGACAGGGAAGAGTAAGACATCAGAGAAGAAGAGGGAGTCCTCATGGTTCCACCCTAAGGTCACAAATGGGGAAGCTAGGAGATTTAGGAGGAGTACATGAAGTGGAGCCTGGATGAGTCTATGTTAATAAGTATGTTACTAACTGGGCCCACTTGGAGGGCTGATATATTCCCCTTTGTCTGCTATAGTCTGTGTGCATGGAAGCCCTCCTCAGACTTTCTTCTGGAAGACTCAATACCTAACGCAATGGTATTTTGGAGTGATGTTTTGGATGTTGATGGATGAGTCCCCATGCATAGAATAAGCATTCTTGTAAGACACTTGAGTGAGATGGAACTCCTTTCTCTACCCTGTGAAGTCATAGCAAGAATAAAGTCATGTGTGGATGACAGTGTGACTCCATCCATCCCAGATTCCTAGGACTGTGACATCCTTGTCTTGATTTTCCCAACTTCTAGAACTTAGGGAACTATATTTCTGGTATTTATGCAACTCAGCCTATGATATTCTGTTATGGAATACCTATATCAACAAAGAGTCCTTTTCAGTGTAGCTATGGTTAAATTATTTCTTTGATCACTTCTCATCCCCTCTATCATACTCATTTCCCTATCATTGCAATATTACACGTTGATATATATTTTGGGGTTGGAGGATATGATGGCTAATTTTGATTGTCAGTATGAAACAGAATAGAATAAACTGAAAAGTGCTTCAATGAGGGTCTAGATCAGATTGACATGTCGGCATGTCTGCAGGGGATATCTTTATTACAATAATCGAAGTGAGAAGACCTGTCTATTATGGGTGGTACCATTTCATAAGATGATGTGGGATTCCTGTCTGTATGCTATGAATATAATTTTTCACCATTGTCTAATAAAAAAGCTGCTTTGGCCTATGGCAGGGCAGAATAAAGCCAGTCAGGAAATCCAAACAGAGATGTATAGAGAGAATAGGTGGAGTAAAAGAGACACCGTGTAGCTGCCAAAGGAGAAAGATGCCAGAATCTTACCAGTAGGTCACAGTGTTGTGATGATACACAGATTAATAGAAATGGGTTAAATAAGATGTAAGAGCTAGCTAGAAATACACCTGAGCCATTGGTCAAACAGTGTTGTAATTAATATAGTTTCTGTGTGATTATTTGGGTCTGGATGGCTGAGAAACCAACGTGCAGTCTCTGATTTCAATAAGCAGAGGATCCTGAACTTTATTGGTGAAGAAAGTGAGCTGAGCACAAACATAAATTAATTCTCTCTCTCTCTCTCTCTCTCTCTCTCTCTCTCTCTCTCTCTCTCTCTCTCTCTCTCTCTCCCCCTATGGACATATTATGAGTAGGTGCTTTAAGTTTGTGCTGCCTTAACCTCTCTACAGTGATGGACTACAACTTGGAATTATGAACAAAATAAAACTTTTCTCCATGAAAGTACTTTTGTCAGTGTAGTTTATCACAACAACAGGAAACAAGTAAGTATAGCATGAATTCTAATAGAAACCTGGAGTCAGCTATCTGGGGTTAAAAGCAGAGAAGCAGAGCAGCCAGCCACTAGTTCTTACCTCTATGAAATACTCAGACCAAATGGGGTATCCTGTCTCTGCAAGTCCTAAGCCTGAATGCCATGAACTCCTGTCTCCTCCTGCCTTATACTCCTCTCTCCACCCAGTCATATTCCTTCCTGTCTCTACGTCCCTAGAGCTGGGATCAAAGGCCTGTGACTCCCAAGTACTAGGATTAAAAAGGTGTGAGCCACTCCTGCTGGGCTCTGATTCTCTTTTAGACTGGATCGATCTTGTGTAGACCAGGCTGGCCTTGAACTCACAGAGATCCCTCTGCCTCTCTCTGCCTCCCAAGTGCTGGGATTAATGGTGTCTGCCACCACTGCCTGGCCTCTATGGCTAACTAGTGGCTAGCTCCACACTCTGATCTTCAGACAAGCTTTATTTGTTAAAGCACAAACAAAATATCACCACAAGTAAGACAGAGGGCTTCTTACTGTAATCATGACATGAGATAAGCAAAAGGAATGTGCTGATAAATTTTATATCACATTGACTATGGATGTTGTATTGGTTTGCTTTTGTTTAATGAATATCTGAACATGCTGCTTTGTAAATACAAGAGGTTTATTTCATAATATCATGTGGAGTATACATCCATAATCAGTATTCTTACTATTTTGTCCTTTTTATGATGGCCCCAAGTAGATGGCATGCAGTGAGAGCAAGTATAGGAAAGAGAGACGACACTGAAAAAGCCAAGGATTCTACTACTCCTTTCAAGGTAATCTTCTCAACTGAACTAAGGACCTTACACTAGGCCTTGTTTCTTAAAAGTTACCAGATCACCACCCCATCACTACCCCCTGGGGGACCAAGAT